GAAGCTGTCATCCCTCAGCACGGCTCACTACCACACCGCAAGGGCACTGTCAGCAGAACAGAAGGGGTTTGGAGTGTGGATGCGGTTTCATGTTTGTGTTCTGCCAGAGTGTCCTGAGAGCCCTGCAGCCTGCCTGCAGCACAGGAGGCAAAAGATTGCTTGGAACTCATAGCTCTGAGAAGTTAGAGATCTGTGATATTAGAAGGGCCACACATGGGCTGAGTTGAGCAGGGTTTATCATTGGAGACGGTACTCAGTCTGGGGGTGTGCCTTTTTTTTTTAAAAAAAAAAAAACATTTTATTGTTAATATTATTATCAGCGTGTGTGTGTGTGTGTGTGTGTGTGTGTGTGTGTGTATTTGTATGTGTGCACCACAGTGTACATGTGGGGGTCAGAGGACAATGTGACCATTGTCAGAGGACGATGTGACCACTAACTTGCTCACGTCCATTCTCTTCTTCTGTGGTTCCTGGGCAGAAACGCAGGCTGTCAGGCTTAGCAGCTGGTGTTCTACCTGCTTATTTATTTATTTATTTATTTATGCTTTTTCAAGGCAGGGTTTCTCTGTATAACACTAGCTCTTTAAACCAGGCTGTTCTTGAACTCACAGAGATCCACCTGCCTCTGCCTCCTGAGTGCTGGGATTAAAGGTGTGCACCACTACCACCCGGCTTATTTTTTTATTTTAAATTATGAGTATGTGTGTGGGTATGTACGTATGAGTGCAGATGCCCATGGACCCAGAGGTGTCAGATCACCCTGGAACTGCAATTCAGACTGTTGTGAGCTGCCTAGCAAAAGTGCTGGGAACCAAACCCAGGTCCTCTTCAAGAGCAGTTTCTGATCTTAATGGTGAGGCATTGGTGAGCCTCCAGCCCTGAGAATGCACCTTCTGCATTTCCAGTTTGCAGCTATGCAAATATCTTCCTGTCAGCTTTCTGTAGCTGCGAAAAACCGCATGAGAAAATCACCTTAAAGGAGGAAGGTTGTGTTGGCTGCAGCCTGTGGTCTGTTGGCTCATGGTTCTGGGCCTGTGGAGACTCGAGCACCAGTGCATGGAGTGTGTAATGGAGGCCTCTCTCTCAGTGATAGGAAGCAGAAAGAGGAGGTAGTGGGCAGGAGAGAGGAGGAGTGGCCTGTTATCCTGGCCACACCCCCAACTGACCTAACTTCCTTCATCTGGTCCTACCTCCCAAAGGTTCCACCCCCTCCCAGGAGAACCTCAGATTGGTGAGCAAGTTAGAGCATCCAAACTGTCCAAACCTGTTCAGTGTTCTGCATTATATTTTATTCTTTGTGAATCAGTGTTGCTTGCATGATTCTGCATACCATGTGTGTGCCTGATGTTCACATGGAGGTCAGAAAGGGTGTCAGGTCCCCTGGAACTGGAGTTATGGATGGCTTCGAGCCACCATGTGGGTTCTGAGAACCAAACCCAGGTCCTCTGCAAGAGCAGCAAATGCTCCTGACTCCTGTCTCTCTGGCCTCTCCTCTGTTTGTTTGTTTATTTATTTATTTATTTTTGGTTTTTTCGAGACAGGGTTTCTCTGTGTAGCTTTGGAGCCTATCCTGGCACTCGCTCTGGAAACCAGGCTGGCCTCGAACTCACAGAGATTCGCCTGCCTCTACCTCCCAAGTGCCTGGCTACTTATTTATTCTTGACAAGTCTCACTGTGTAGCCCTTGCTGGCCTGGAACTCACTGTGTAGTCCAGGCTGACTGACCTTCAACTTGTTTTCCTCTTGCCTCTGCCTCCTGAGTGTAACATTGTGTCTGATTAGGAATTTGAAACATAGTCAGCAGCACTTGCCACAACTATCATTTTAATCGGGAGCTGTTGATACACCTTAGTAACCAGGGGGCAGACTAGAGGTGATTTTTTTTTAACTTTTTATTTTACTTTAACTTTGTGGCTTTCACATCATGTAGAGGTTATTATTATTATTTATAATCAAAGTGTAATTTGAAGCATACACACCCAAGCACCTGCTGCCACCTGGTGGCAGTATCCCAGGGTTGCAGGGTCTTTTGATGGACCAAAATTCAGTCTGTCTTAGGTTTTATATGTTCAATTTGTAGTCAGTGCACTTACTACAGAATCTTGAAACGTACAGTATGGCCAGCCTAGGTATTTGGAAATAGGAAGCATAAGTGAAAGTCTTACTTGCAAATGATGGGTTTCTACTTAGAAGAGATACGAAGCAGAAGAGAAGGCTGTGCAGGAGCTCGGCAGTGGTCTGTGGACCCGAAACCGACCTGCCAACATCTCTTGCTTCTGTGCCTGAGGCAGGAGAGCAGCCTTTGGTGTGTGCCTGGGACAAAACTTCCATATTTGAAGTTAACCCAGAGGTTCACTGTTCATATGGATTTATTTTTACTTTAGGTGCATTGGTGTTTTGCCTGCATGTATGTCTGTGTGAGGGTGTCAGATCTTAGAGTTACGGTTGTACGCTGCCATGTGGATTCGGGGAATTGAACCCAGATCCTCCGGAAGAGCAGTTTGTGCTCTTAACCGCTGAGTCATCTCTCCAGCCTCCTCACTGATTTTTAAAAACAAGTTTCTAATGATTAAAATCTGAAATTACTAACATTATTTTTGTCTGAAAGTAGCTCCAGAAAACCCCTACACTTACAGGCTTGGATGCTAGCTCTGCTGTTGGAGATGTAGCTGGGTTTGATGCTGTGGCGTACAGTGGAGTGAGTGAGGTGTAGGGCTGCGTCATGGCTGATGCATTCCTGGCCTTACTGCCCACAGTGTGTAGGGCTGTGTCATGGCTGATGCATTCCTGGCTTTACAACCTGTGGTGTGTAGGACTGCGTCATGGCTGATGCGTTCCTGGCCTTACAACCTGTGGTGTGTAGAACTGTGTCATGGCTGGTGTGTTTCTGGACTTACAGCCTGTAGTGTGTAGGGCTGGGTCATGGCTGATGGAATTTGGCCCTCGACTTACAGCCCATAATCTTCTGGTGGTTTTGGAGAGAGGATGATTGCAGAAACATCAGTCACTTGTTTCTATAAATGTTTCATAATGCAAATTGAATGTGATAAAATATTAAAAATATCATTCATTAATTATTGAAAAGTTCAGTCTCTGGAAATGGCCCTATCTCTCATTATAGGCCAGCTTAAAGGAGCAATTGAGAAATTCTGAATTATAAAATTCGAATGCTGGGATGGTGGTGGAATTAATCACCACCAAGTTATTTTCTAGTCTGAAACTTGTTAAGCATTTTCCCCTGCAGCCTTTCCATTAAGGTAGCAGCCTGTCCACTGTTAGGACATGGCGGGCGCCCTACACTGGGCTTTGCTTAATAGTGTCGCATTCCTGTTGTGTTGGAAAAAACAAGGTGATGTTCTCATTTTAAGCTAAGAGTTTTGTGGACTCAAATATTAGAAGAAAATTTAATTTTATTTTATTACGCTTGTAATTTTGTTAGTAAAACAAAGTATTAATATAAGCTAGTATCAAATGTTACTATTAATTGCAAGCCATAGTTTCCCTGGTGAAATGGAAGACTGGAGTGTGAGTCAGTGGTGTACAACTGTAATCCCAGCAGTTTGGAAAGCAAAAGCAGGAAGACTGAATTTGAGGCCAAGCCTGGGCTACATATCCTGGTAGGGGTGGGGGAGGGAGGACTCTAAAATTAGAGAAGGGATGGAG